ATATATATATATATATATATATATATATATATATATATATATATATATATATATATATATATATATATATATATATATATATATATATATATATATATATATATATATATATATATATATATATATATATATATATATATATATATATATATATAATTAATAATACAACTTGAGGTCACCTGTCATTTTCTCCACGTTGTCGATCCACTGGTTCTTCATGGTCTCGAAGTGCTCAAATGCTGCCTGATTTCCAGGATTCTTCAGCAGGATGCGAGCAGCAGAAACGACCTGCGGGACAGAAGGGTCAGCACACTCATCTTCATCATCAGGGTGAAATTTAATACCTTTAAAGACCTCATTTCTTCTTTTTAACTTCATTTTAAGACCTCATCGCCACTTTAGATTTCAACCAGTAACACTGGCCACATGTTAACTTACAGTATGAGGCCCACAGCCAGCCTATTGTACGGGGTGGTTCTTCTTCTTTATTGCAGTTATTCGCCTCGTTTTCTGTTCAATTATGAGGTTTAAATACTGCATTTTAGTGACATTTTAAGCACTAATCTTTGCTGGATCAGCTTGTCGGATGGTTATCATAACCACACTGTTAGATGTACCAAAAATAATCTCTACAATGTTGTCACATGCACACACACACCTGGCTGTACCCGACTGTCTTTATATGTTTTTTTCATGTCATGTAATACTGTGTAATAGTGATGAGCAGGTCAGCTTTTTTTCCAACCTGTGGGTCCTGCTTTTAATGAAATTATTTGACCCGCCACCCTGCACCACTGTATCTATTTTTACAACACACCCGCGAACATTAAATAGACATATAGACAGAGTACTGACAATAAAAAAAGCCCCTCAATTGGCAAAAACAAGTTAGTACGTGTTTTGTGGCTCTCGTGTTTGCTTTTTTCACACAAGCTGCACTTCACGCAGCTGATACTGCTGTTGTCTCCTGCTGCTACTATTTCTGAAAACCGCTTCCAGACGATGTTATAAACTTTAGCTTGAACTTTTTTAGCCTAACCTCAATATCTGCACCTAGTCTTCCCTCTTCATTTCTCCATTTTTGTGGCTGGCAGCAGGAGCTATTTATCACTGTTATGTGATGCCACATGTTTGAGGGATGGTAACCTTATCAAAGAACTTAATACAATATGAAAATAGATTTTTCCAAATACTAATATAGGCTATAGAGAATTGCACGCAACATACATAGACTTTTTATTTTGAAAATGACCCACTCGACCCGCCCTGCAAATAAAGTGACAATTTCTTTACCCACACCAAACGGTTACTTGCAGGGTTTGTGGGTAATCTGCGCATCCCTAATCTCTCTGCATAATAATAAAAGAAAAAATCTCTAAATTGAAAGTGCTTTATAAGACCCTGCGGACCTGTTCCTGATCTTCTTCATTAGAGGTGTGTGTTGGTGTTTTACCTGCGGCGTCAGGTCTCTGGCTGATTTGACCGCCGCCTGTATGCCCTCCACCGTGCTCTTGTTTGCGGTCCCGACCGCTGCTGCTTTCTCCGCCGTGGCTCCCAGACGACTAGCGTGATTCTCAAAGTTTGAGGCCCGTTCCTTAAACACCTGATCACAACACACCAAGGTTATTTTAGTAAACAAAACCAAAAGCATTGCTTAAAAACATTTTTATTAATCAAAAATAGAAGACAATCAAAGGAACTTTAATACTGGACTTAATTAAATGAACTTGATTAACTGAATTAAATGAAGCATAAGCGCCGGGAGATGATGCCAAACAACTAGCACCAATGAAACACAACATAAAACCAAATATAACGACTACAAGATTTCATTTGACTTTAAAAAATGCTCTCATTCTTTGTGTGTCTGTGTGTGTGTGTGTATATATATTATATTATTCTTTATTGCTTTGATTGCTTCTTATTTCTTAATGGACCCTTCGCTAAGCCCCGCCCTCCTTAGTTACTGTTGCTACGCCTGTCAAGCTTTCGTGCCTGGCACGGCTTTTTCAACAAATTCCCAGGGATGTAATGTCATTTTTGGTGAACAGGTGAGATATCCGAGAAAGCCAGGCAAAAAAGGACTGCAGTATGCATTACAGGAGTATATTCACCACATAATAGGCAACCGATTAGAGAATAAATCAATCAAAATTGAAGCTAGCTAAGCCTAGCCGCCTCATACGCTGACCATTCAACAGCTTATGCTCAGCAGGAGAGGTGACATTTAAAAATAATCTAATAATAATTAATTAAACCTCTATTTTAGCCAAAAAGCCTGATAGATTAATTGTTGTGCAATGAAATGTAGCGTTACTAACAGACGAGCAGGCCCGGATTGGCAAATCGGGAGAACCGGGAGAATTCCCGGTGGGCCGGTCTGTTTTTTGGCTGCGAGGGCCGGTGTCCCTAGCTGCTTGCACTTTCAGCAGTCGCACTATTTTCATTTATTTGTTTATTTGACCATATACTCACTCTTTTTGTTCATTATTTTGCCGCAGCTCTGCTCTTTTTGTGGTTTAATTATAAACAAATTTCGAGAGGATCACGTGCTTATGATTGTTCACAGCTGTTCCAACTTTAGCTAATGACTAATTATCCTATCAGACGATCCATAACTCACTATAAATAACCAGACTTTTCTCATCTCAATATCTTCATCTTGAAGAACCACCCCCCCCCCCCCCCCCAACCATACTTTCCCTCCTTTCAAACGGGCGTCACGGTGGCCAGCGATTAGCGCTAATGCCTCACAGCAAGAATGCCCCTGGTTTAATTCCTTTCCAAACCAGACGGCATTTCTGTGCGGAGTTTGCTCATTCTCCCTGTGGTCGCATGGGTTTTCCCCAGGTCCTCCGGTTTCCTCCCACAGTTCAAAAACACTTTTTTCATTTATTTGTTTATTTGACCATATCCTCACTCTTTTTATTCATTATTTTGCCGCAGCTCTGCTCTTTTTATTTATTTTATCGCAGCCCCGTGAGCAAAATGCAGCCCGCAGGTTAATGATGATCATCATTAACCTGCGGGCTGCACCCCATTCCACCTCAAACAGCAGCACCTTAGTGAATATTAATTAATGTTAATGAATATTACACCTGCTCAATGAAAATCAGATGATTCATTACATTAATAAATCTGATATAACTTGATCAGAAATCTAAAAAGGGTAAAAAAAAAAAAGAGTAGACATCAATAGCAGCAGATAACAGTGCTATACTAAGCAGCGCCACCGTGGTCTAGTGGTTTGCACATTACGTTGCGACGCCGCCGATCGGAGTTCGAACCTCACCAGACTATAATATGTTTTTTTCATTTTCAGTGTTTTTTATTTAAGAAAAACATTTGAAGTTCTAAAGCAGCTGTGTCCTTGAAAAAGACATGTTAGTGTCATTTGAAACTTAATTGTAAATGACGTTATTTTAATATAGTCAGTCGTCGACTGAGGTGGGCTGGTCTAAAGGCTGATTTATACTTCTGCGTCAAACGTCGGTGTATGCTACGGCGCTGACGCATAGCCCTTTGCCGTGGCCGTCGTTGACGTGCACCTCTCAAAAAATGTAACTACACGTCGTAACGACGCGTAGCGCAAGCTCTGTGATTGGTCGGCATCGTATCGCTGACGAGTCTGAGCGAGACAGAGAGCCGCGTGAATGGTGCGAGCCTGATGGAGCGATTGTTTACAAGTGTGGAGTCCCATGAAGGAGCTCCGGATGGAAAGTTTTGTTTCGCGTTTACCTCATAGTTAAAGTTGTTCCTGCCTCAAAATCGGCAAAATTTACACCTCACTGCCAACTAGCGTTTCGGAAGTGTTAATGCAGACCAACAGAGACAGCGCGCAGAAGTATAAATGCACAGCTACGCGCGTTGCATG